TCACTATTTTTGACTTTTCTGAGCCTGTCAAGTCCTTCTTTTGACCCATTTTGCCAAAGGAAAGGAAGTTGCCTAATAATTATGCACACCTGATGCAGGGTGTTGATGTCATTAGACCACACCCCTTCTCATTACAGAGATGCACATCACCTAATATGCTTAATTGGTAATAGGCTTTCAAAACTATACAGCTTGGAGTAAGACAACATGTATGAAGAGGATGATGTGGACAAAATACTTATTTGCCTAATAATTATGCACGCCCTGTAGAGCTTGGTTGGAAGGTTAAGTGTACTAATTTCCACACTAGAAACGTAGGGACTTAGTCCTGGGTCTGAACTTCATGTTCTACCATAAAAGCAGCATGCCCACAATGAAGCTGTAATGATGGGCTCAGTGTTAAACAGTACAAGCAGTTACTTGTTAATCATTGTGTTCCTTCCAGTGAGGATTCCTATGAACTTGTTATTGCTCTATTATCTTCGTGAGCTTTTGTACATCAGGTGTAATGTCACTTATCAGCAAGCCTTAGTGTGGAGACAAGTGAGTCGTGCAAATGCAAGAAAAAACGTAACATATTAGCCGCCACTTCCAAAATACATCGCAATCTCCAACTTGTTTTGGTAGTGGATGTGCATTGTGGGTAATGTAGGCATTACGAATAAAAAAGAATGCTTGGAATCGTCTTAATTACTTCCACAAAGGAGGCTTATGTTTTTGGTAGCATTTCTATATCTTCAAACACAATAGCTCAAAAAGTTTTGAATGAAATATTATCAACTTTGTGAGGGTGTAGAGTGGGGTCATGTTAACAATCCATCCAAACTTGGCTTGCATCCACCAAAGGTGGTCAAGGTTAACTTATTGATTTATTGGTTGGAAATGGACATTTGTGGTATCAAGTACAATATAAATGACTTAAAATATAATGTCAGATTTGACCTCTTACCTTTCCTTCAAGGTAAATGATCTAAAGGTCAAAGTTATAGTAATGTTATTTAAAACTATATCTCTTACTGCCATTGATAGAATAAAGTCATATTGGGTATGGTGTATAGGAAATCTAAATATCATGTTTTTTGTACTTTTGCAGTTCAAATAAGGTCAAATTTTCAGAAAAAGTCTTTTATCATTAAAAGTATGCTTAAAAATTGTCCTGTCTTTGTTTGTTTTGGCAACACTTACTGATATATAGAGATTCTAAATATGTCATCATAGTTTGCATCTAAACATTATGTGAAATTTGACCTCTGACCCTACTATTACCTTGCTTGATTGTGAGTCTGTCAGTGATAAAGGAGACCAAATGGCTTCATTCTTTCCCCTCACACTGTTTCATAGGCAGAAGACTGAATCCAGTCTGAAGAAGTTCAGTGTTTCCCACGCAGACTTTACCCTAGCAGGTCACTGTTGTGTTTCAGCAGTTGCCCAAATATGTTTTGATACGCATTACTTTGGTAGGGTGATGCCACCAATAATTTACTCACCCTTATGTTATGTTGAAAGTTCAGTTCCTGCTAACCAGCTGGCTCTGGCAATTCCTGTCTCATGCTTCAACCTACCAGGCAGTCGATTTCTTTCAGTCCAGAAAGTTTTTACCCCTCAGCCTTAAAAGACTGATGTCGTTTTTTTGTTGGGTGAGCGTACAGGCAGGCAGCGTGGACATCTAAGTTTGTGATAACACGAGAATAAAGCAATGTAGGAGGTTCAAACTGATATCACGGGGATATATTTTTTAAATGATTCCTATTATTTATTATTAGTTCCAATGTACAGCACTTTGTGTCAGCTATGGGTGTTTTAAAGAGCTTTTTAAATGAAGATGGCATGGTATGATATCTACTAAAAATCTCAGATGAGTTTGATTCTCCAAGACCTCAATATTAAGGACAAAAGTTAGAGGACAGAGATCAACTTTTCGAAAAGTCTTGTGATTCCGATAACTGGAAAATGATGTAGGAGCTTCAGATTGATACCATAGATGCATCTACCAAAAATCTCAGAGACCTGGACCTTGAGGTCAGGGTAAGCTTTCTAAAAATCTTGTATATTGTGATAACTTGAGAACAAGACGATAGCAGATATGGTGGACACACCTTTAGGTTCATTAGGTTCATCCAGCACAGACTTGGGGAATAATTTTGACCATAAAGCATATCTTACAAGGTAAACCACTGCTTCCAGCCAGTCTTCCATGTGATGTTTGTGGGTTCAGATGGGGAAAAACCCCAAGTGGCAGTGGTCTGAGGTGTCTAATGGACCTGTACACAAGCACAGAGAGCCGATGAACTTCTTCAAACCAGTAAGCGCTGCAGGCGGCCTTGTGAACTTTTCTTCCTTCAGATGGATCTTGTTGACTGAAGCGTGTCTTATAATTGTCTTGGATTGAGTTGAACTAAACAACAAGTGACTTTGGGTGTTTATGTGGGTGGAAAACACACCCCAGTAAAGGAAAGTGGTGAACTTCATAATCAAAATGAATGTAAAAAAAAAGTGATTGTTTTCTTTTTATTTTGTTTGCATGATCATTAGAAGCCAAAATCAAGAAAAAATCGGACTGTCATGGCCGAATGCTGGTTGTAGGAGTCTTCTCTGTCCTCTGTGAATTGCAGGGTCATTGTAACCAACACCTGTGTCAGGTGGAGCTCCAACGTGTCAATCTCACAAGGCTGCAAAGCAGAATCGGGATTACCATCTAAAGTCCAGGAGGGACAGTCACTAGACAGGCAGCTGATTTTTGCTTTGAGATTTATCATCAAGTATTACTTAATGATTTGTTTTGGAAAGCTTGGGTGCGCCTCCGTGCTGCCACCTGATGCTTTCAAGTTCTGTGCAAAGACTGAAGTTGCATCAGACTAGCTTATAAGCGCCTTTACGTCTTTGCATAAATGAGTCGTGAAGTTTTTAAGGCTCTTCTGTGTTTACATTGCAGCTGCCTTCTCGTGAGGTTCCATTTAGCAGTCTCTTTTAATATCCTTCCAAACATGCACTTGGAGTTCAGCTTCCTAAGAAAGTAATGCAAATGCCAAAAGAAGGGCAGAGCTTTACTTTAACCCTGTAGACCCTTCATATCACAGATGTCTCAGGTGCACATTATTTACATATGTGGCATTAGAGTCAGGGGGAAAGCTTTGACTTCTCATTTAACTGTTCAGACTGACTTTGAGTCAGATTTCTATGAAGTTTGTTACAGAAAACGATTCCCCGCATTAGAAATGAGGGAAGCAAAAACAGAAAATGACTGTATCTTGAAGTGTCAGTGAATGGTCTTCTCCTGTGGGATTTGAATGAAGTGGGCTGAGCTTTTTCAGGAAATGAGCACTCTCAAGCCAAGTTGCTCCTCAATACACTTCCAGTCCATGCAGGGCGTTGTAATGTTCTCTCCTACCGGCTGTTTAGCGGCTGACCTATGGCACTCGTGGGGCGTAATCAGACTTTAATTACACCCTCTTAATCACTTGAAGACAATCTGTGCGACAAGACCGCTCCTCACAGCACGTGGGCTGTTTTTACCTGCTAATCTGGCCCTGCTTTCCTGGTTAATAGGGAGTGAATTATATTGATATTCACTTTATTCTGCATTTCTTGGACATTCCTGTACTTTTGAGGCCGCTCATTTTTTCTTTTCTTTCTTTCCTTTTTTAAACTATATTCTCTTAAATATAAGAGCAAGCTCACACTGTCACCCATCTTAGGTCAGACT